ACCTAAATCACAGCAGCGTCCATCTATGAAGGACGTAGGCTGTCAAACATACGTTAAGTGTTAGCCAATCATAGCAGTGGGCGTTTACTTCCGAGTCTACAATCCATCACGCCTATTCAAACAGAGCGGTCTGATGAGGGGAGTCAAAACAGGACAGAAAATATCTTATTATTTCTAAATTATGTTTTTTGATGTAAAAATCTTGATACCATTATAAGGGGACCTCGGAGAACAGTACAAAATAATAAAAAGGCAGTTCATGACCCCTTTAATTTAGGCTTTTATTTACATCAAAACAATGATCAACACGCATACATAGAGCACATCAAATATGGTAAACATGGAAGCTTGAGCATGTGTGTGATGCACGAGAACCATGAGTAAATAGCCTAAATTAAATGAATAGCCTAAATTAAATCTGTATAGTCTTAGGGGTTTGGTAAGACATGAGGGTGAGTAAATGATGACAGAATTTTCATTTTTAGGTGAATAACCTTTTTAAATTTTTTAAAATCTTGAATCTTTAAAGGCCTTTTGGCCTTTATTGGACAAGACAGTGGAGATGCACCAAGTACTGGAAAATGACCCAAGCTGGATTTGAATTGGGATAAGCCCTGTGCAACATGTCTACCCACCAAGCCACGTCTTGGACCTTAACATTACCTGGTTGTCCAGCTGGTCCTGTATCTCCCTTCCTTCCTGGTGAGCCGGTAAATCCTGGAGGTCCCATTGGACCTGGGTCTCCGGGGTCACCGGGCGAACCTAAAGGTAGAAATGAAATCAGACATGACGAGGAAAAAGACCAGGGCTGCTTTTCCCAAAAGCATCGTAAACCTAAGTAGATCATATAACCAATGGCACCAATGGTCTCTACGATCAGCTTAGCTCACAATGCTTTTGAGAAACGCAGCCCAGATCAGGTATCAGCTATAATATTTTTTTTAACTGTACTGTGTACAATCTAAATATATCCACTAACCTGGAAGACCCTGCAATCCCAAGGGACCTGTTGGGCCTCTGCTGCCTGGGATACCAGGTGGTCCAGATTGACCACGCTCCCCCTTCAAAAGAATCGGGTTTGGAGCAAAGCCTGGCTCACCAGGAGAACCTGTGGTCAACAGAGGGGAGAGGAGTAGTAGAGGATGCATTTTCATTGGAATTGTAAGGGGAAAAATATCCAGGTTTTAAAATGACTCACCTGGTGTTCCAGTGCCACCACGTTCTCCTGGGTTGCCATTAGATCCAGGAAGGCCAGGCTGTCCTTTAGGTCCTATAATATGCAGAGGTTACGTGGATAAGACTCATTCATAAATATAGCTTCACAACCAACATCAACCTTTATGCATTTTATTACAGATTCACTTTGATGTTGTCCAAGACACATTACTGCGGGAAATAGTGGTGCTGAGGGTGCTGTAGCACCCCCTGGCGTGTAGCCCAAGAAAAAATGGGGGGGCTGGGGGTGCGGTGTTAAAAATAAATAAATTAAAATGTTGCAACAAAAAATAAATAAAACAAATTTTATTCATTTGTATATTCATTAAAATTCATGGAAAAAAATAGCCTAAGCCTACAGTGACAATAAGCAACAGTAAAACATGAATTACCTGTAACATGTCTGTGCCGGACCCAAATCAAGAATTAACGACCATTTTTACAGCCATTGCGAAGATACAAACGAGAGCGTCTATTACCTCAGCAGCAACCAATAATAATAACAATCTCACATTCTCGCTTCTACAGCGCTTATTTTGATATTTAACATTAGATCTTTCATATTCTTGGAACAAAATTAATGCTTAAGGTTGATTCAGTATTACTCTTAATGAAAACAAAATCCCACACACAACATCAGCAATAATACAATGACAGTAGCTTATATTAAACATAAAACTTTTATCAACAGAACGAATAAGACATACCCGCGTTTTTGGTTTTTCCCTTACTTCAAACGAATGGTTAGGTTGTGGCTCATTATTATTATTATTAATAATAATACAAAAGGCTATACAATAAAACAGTACGATGACAAATTTACTTATATTAAACTTTGAACTTTTATTAACAATATGAATAAGGAAAATATGTTTCACCTGCATTGTAACAAATAAACGGTCTTTGGATTTCCCCTTTTTTTAAAAAACGATCGTAGTTTGTGGTTCATTATTAGCCTATTAATTAAAACACATCAGCCATAAAATAGTACAATGGCAAATTCGCATAGGCCTATATTAAACATCTAACTTTTATTAACAAAATGAATAAGACGGATATAGTCTACTTGCGTTGTAACCCAAATAAATAAGGTCTTTCCCCTCTTTTAAAACAAATGCTTAGTTTGTGGTTCATTGTTTTATTTATTTATTTTTAATGAAAACAGCAACAATAAAGACAAACTCGCTTATATTAAACGAAGAAATTAAACATTTATTAACAAAAGTTGAGCGTTTGGATCATAGTGTCTCGCATCACTCTCGTCACGTGACCAAACAACCCCCCCTGCTCAAAATATGTTCCCGCGGCTATGCCCAGACATGTACGCTGTTATGTTTTTGTGTGGAACACAAACGAAGAATTATGAAGAAATACATATGATCAATTTATTTGATTAAAAAATATAGCAAAAACAGTAAACATTTCTGAATGTAATTTTGAAACTAATCTGTCACTGTGCTTCATATGCCATTTTTAGAATATTAAAAAATTATCCTTTTGTGTTCCATGAAATAAATAACAGCAAATGGGACTCAACAACATTAGGGTGTATAAATGATTACAGACATGTATTATTTTTGTAAACAAATCCTTAATGGTTGTAGAAGGAAAACCGACCTGGGAATCCAGGAACACCTTGAGGTCCAGTATCTCCTTTCAGGCCGCTAGGTCCTGGATTTCCTGGAGTACCCTTTTAATAAACAAATAACAAACATCATTATCCGATTAAATTAATATTATAAATGGAAATGTATAAATAAATGAACAACTCTTTATATTATCTGAAATAATTTTATCACGTGAGACAGCAGAGATAACAAAGACATACTACAACAACTATGAAGGAAATTGGTTGCCAATCATATCATTTAGCGGTCATTATCAAGAAATATCTGACCAGAGTATGTTAGAATTGACCAGTCAGAATCATGTATTCCAGAGAGCCATTACCAAAACAAAATATTGCCCTCTTTTCAGCAAAGTGTCAGAAAACCCACATAAACCAAATGCAGCCTACAATGATTCTACAAATGCAAACTGTACGAAAGCCTTTGCTAACAATAACTAAACTTTCCTTTTAAACCACATCTATAGTGCTTACCGAAAAGCCAGGGGGACCGTAATCTCCTTTCAGTCCTGGCGCACCAGGTATCCCAGGGAGTCCAGGCATGCCCTTCTCACCTTTTACTCCTCCACTACCTGGAGGTCCACGGGTACCCTCAGGGCCAGGAGAACCTTCACATTCACAGAAAAGAAATCAGTTTCTACCTGTTTCAATGGTACCTGATTAACAAACAGGATTCATCTTACAACATGAAATCATTGTCAATATTATTTAACCAAGCATTGATGTCCAGATTTGTGTGCATGTTTATCATGTATATTGTTGTATGTGGTGTGCTGAATGGTTCTGGGATATTCTTGGAGAAGGCACAAAGAGAGATCAACTAAACACTCATAACTATATTCATATAACTGGATGGCGATAAGAAAGTTAAACATCAAAAATGAAGAATGAGTCCCACTCAACCTCATATGCAGAGGTAAATCATCTAATAACAAATGGAAGTGCACAGCATGACACAGGTGAGTATCAAACCAAGATGTCTAACCTGCAGGACCTATAGAGGGGTCAAAGGTCAACGGGTTCCCAAAAGTCCAATAAGAGGAGAAGAAAAGAAAAAGGTAAAAGTTTTAAATACAGAGCACAGCAACACAAGTAATGTGATGTGTTGAAGAATAGACACGTTTTGCCAAATTGTTTTACAGAATGCATTACTGAAGAAACAGATTAGCATATTTGACATTTCATTTACATAACCATACATTACATAACATTAAAAAAAATTAAATAATAGAAAACAGAAATTTGACATTTCACAAAATTGATTAATTCACAATATTACTGTTCTGCTGTGTTTTTCAAATAGCTTTGGCGAGGAAAAGACTTATAGACACCAAACTTTTGAATGGTAGTGTGTACATGCTCATCATTATTCTGGTTAAGCCAAACTTAGCAAAAAAAGGTTCACATGTTCAACACATAACTGAATATAGCTGTACATAGTATAGTCATGATATTCCATATAATCAAGACATGCATATTCTTTTCTGCTATTCTCTTCAAAAAAATACTTGCTCTTGGAATTCTGGCTTAATTGAGTTGTTGCAGTTGGGTTGAGACATTTACATGAGACATTCATAATCATACTATAGGCAAATTCCTACACAGTAATATCCTTGTGCATGTGCAAAATCTGATAATCTACTCTAATACTAACAGGATATGGTTATCTACACTTACACTACACACCTACAATGTGGTAATGCTACCTTTTATATTATTTTGTATATACTTGTACAACCAAAGTAGAGCTACATGTGTAGACACATAATATGGATGAATCACAAATCATTAATAGGTAGATTAAATTAAAATTCATTTTAATACAGTTACGCGTTGTAGCATAAAGATCAGCTCTATAACATGAAGAAGCTGACCTGCCGAGCCTGCAAAGATCCAATGTCATCAGGAGGAGCAGAGCCATTCCCACGAAAAGTGAAGTAAAACAGAAAATGCATATGATACCCAGAACGTGCCTGGGTAAAAATAAGCCCAACAGACACTAGCCAAAATGGTCTCCTTCTTCATCAAATTCAAAAGCTTTATATCTATTTTATATGAAGTGCAGCAGAATTCATTAATGTTTTTGCTCTTTTTCCAAGGTGGAGCCCATTTTAGATAGTCTTGCAATGGCTTTTAATTTCTTACAAATCAGCACATTTCCCATGCCAGATGCACCCTCGTTTCATTTGGTGACAGACAGACATAGACAGCGTCCTGTGGATAAAACTGCAGCTTTTACTGCTGAGAAAAAGGGACGGGTGGAAGTGAAGACGCACAAGAGTGAATGATGATAGATGAATGGACGGGTGAACAGCTAACCTTGGATAGTGAAAGCTGTGTGTAATACTCATAAAGCCCTGACTGGGCAACTGTGAAACAATGACTGCACAAAACCTCTTCATGCATGCACATCCTTCACTTCTCTCTAACACATGACAAACCGGTACACAATAAAGGAAGGGAGTGATGAGAACAGAAGATCACTTGCAGTGAAGGTAATGCAAACAGTGTGTCTTGTGCTCTGTCATCTAAAGAGTGAGTGTATTTGTGCTCATTGGACATGGATATGGCATAATCATGACTGCTTGTGCAATATTCCATGCAAATCAGCCAAACCAACAAAAACAAAGCCAGTATGCCCTCTGGTTCACAATCATAATATTACATGTGCTGATGAAGTGATTCCCAAACAGGAGTACTTGTACCTGACTTTTTTGTTGAATTTCTAAAACAGATTTATGACTTAGTACTGGGGCTGACAGCAGATAAAAATTAATGTTGTTAATACATTCAATTCCTTTTTAAACTAAACAGTGTGTAAGTTGTGTGAACCACCAGACAATTTGTTTAGCTTCTTTTGGGTGTAGGCATGCACAAGAAAAACAACAAACACTGTGGTAAAGCACAGTATTAAATATTAGAAGTATGTGGTGAAGCCAGTTTTCAAAGGGATTACAAAATTGTGCTTTCGTTGGCCAATTTAGAAGTTCTGCTTAAAACAATTCTTTGGATACTTATTTTGGATAAAAAAATTATTTTATTTTAAGAGTTTGTTCTTTTTTAGACATTCTACTCCAGGCTACTCTTTATTAAAATTAAACCAAAATAAAGGCAAATGTCGGCTTGAAACCCAGAGGGCAGAGCTGGCCAAAATGATAAGATGCTTAACTTACCAGCTCTTCCGGGGGCACCAGGTGGGCCTTGGAAACCTTTAGGTCCCTGCACAGGCAGGCCTGGAGGCCCAGGTGGTCCTCCAGAACCAACTGGGCCAGGCAACCCAGGAAATCCGACATCACCCTTTGGACCAGGAAATCCAGGACTACCGGCAGGACCCGGAAAACCAGGGTCTCCTTTAGTCCCTATAAAAACAGCCAATTATTGTAAATTTGCTATGAAAATTATGATGAGGACTTTGTTACAAGTTCTCTGGTGTAAAAATGAAGATACATGAAAATGTAATTCAGTACTTTACCTGGTGAACCGGGGAAACCGGGTGGGCCTGGGCCACCAAGGCCTGGAGTGCCTAGGTAAAAAATTAAAAACAAATGATTCTAGATACATATACTTCATTGAGCACATCCAATGCACTTTTGATTTCTTTTGGATTCAGACTAACCTGGTTCACCCTTTTGTCCCGGAGGTCCTGGAATACCATCACGTCCAGCAAGACCTTTATCACCAGAGAGCCCAGTTAATCCAGGTCGTCCAGGATCTCCTGGCCTACCAGATGCTCCACTAGGACCAGAAGCGCCTGGAGCACCATCCAAACCTTTAAAGCCAGGAATGCCAGGTGCACCTTGGAATCCTGGGAGTCCTGGATCACCCTTTGGTCCAGGGCTACCAGGCAAGCCTGAAGATCCTGAAAGGCCAGGCTGGCCTTTCAGACCAGGGGTTCCAGGAAATCCTGGAGGGCCTGGTTCACCCTGGGATTTTAATAGGATTAAATATTAAAGTAAATATTCTCAATGTTTAAGCAGAAAACATGATGTTTTTACCTTTGGCCCAGGAGTTCCCGGTAATCCAAATCCTGGTGAGCCAGGATCACCTTTGGGTCCCGGGAACCCTGGTGTTCCTGGGGAACCAGACTGGCCAGATTGGCCTGTTTGGCCGTAGTTTCCTTTCACTCCAGGAACTCCTATAACAAAAAAGATTGGCTCAGTCTAGCTTTAAGAGTTCAAAGCCTCAGAAACAACGGTCAATTGTTTTGATTTGTACGAGATTGAAGAGCTGACCTGGTAATCCCATCTCCCCCATGCTACCCTTCAGTCCTTGGGCTCCTGGAGACCCTGGAGTTCCTGGAATACCAGGATCACCTTTGAGGCCTAAACACGACATGACAAGACAAAATCCATAAAACTTGTCAACCAAAACCCATTGAATAGTACATATGCACATACAGTACACTAGTTGATTGAAGGTGCTTTTTTATGGCTCAAATATGTGCACTTGTCTGCTTTACCTGGAGGTCCCGGTAGACCCGGCCTTCCATCTTGCCCAGGGAGACCAGGATCTCCAAGGATACCGGGAATACCCTTTGCTCCTGGTAGTCCGCTAAAACCTACAAAACAAATAAAGAGAATCGTGGAGTGACCAAAATATATGAGGGGATTAAAAGGATCAATTCTTTTCATTCTGAATTTGGAAAAAACACATGTCAAGGAGGGACCCAGTTTTCTTTAAATAAGAGATGGTCCCACTGATGTACCAATCACAAAGAAAAGGTATGAGAAAAGGTAATTATGAGTGGTTGACCAACATTTCTCCAAGGCTGATACACCAGCTGACACGGCATTTTTTAATTATCGACATTGGCTAATACGTTTTTCTGTTCGGTCAATAATTGTTATAAATGGGACTTTTTTGGGCATTAAATGGTCTTTATTTGAGAAAATATAACCCCCAGTGCACAGACTTTTTGGATTACTGAGTAAACTGTTGGTTACATTGTTTATTTATTTATTTTTGAAAATACCATAATACCATTTAGTTGCTATCTAAAGCATATATTTATTTCACAGATTTTAGTATATCAAAAATGTACTCATTTTCAAATAATTTGTAATTATTTGACTAAAGAATTATGTTAAATATAAATTTAATAGCAGGTTTTTAGGTTATTTCTTTAAAGTGTGCAGTATCATATGTTTTTACTTTATATTGGCCATCGGACAATCAAAAAAATCTATATTGGTGACCACTAGTATATGGGTTTAGATTTGACTGTAAAGCAAAATGTGACTGGTTGCAGCAAGAACATGCTATGATTGGCCAGCGAAATGTGGATTTGTGTGTCTTGATGGTAGAGATGTTTTAAAATCCATGAGTGCAGTGAATTCACAAATGAATGCCAGGCATAGTTGCGTTTGTGACATAAAAACATATTTGTGAACCTCCTAACACACACACACACACACACACACACACACACACACACACACACACACACACACACACACACACACACACACACACACACACACACACACACACATATATGTATATATACAGTGGGTAAAATAAGTATGGAACACATCACCATTTTTCCCAGTGAATATATTTCTAAAGGTGCTGTTGACATGACATTTTCACCAAATGTTGGTAACAACTCAAGTAATCCATACATACAAAGGAAACAAAACATATAAGTTCAGAAATTAAGTAATTCTACATGAAGGTAGCAGCTCACCTAGAGATCCGGGTTCTCCTTTTTGTCCCTTAAGTAGACTTGTAGGTGGGCCTAGGCCAGCTGGGCCTGGAATGCCTGGGTCACCTTTGTCTCCCTTTGATCCTGGGAAACCTGAGCTTCCTGGTCGTCCTGGGACACCGTCATCTCCTGCCGGGGCACAGAGCACAATAATATTTCACTCTACAAGGGACTTTATGAAATTGTTTCAGAAATTTGAGCTAAAGCCAAAAATGGTATCAGACCTTTTGGTCCTGAAAAGCCTTGTCTGCCAGGGTTGCCAGGGGCACCTGCAGGTCCTGGAGCACCCATCCCACCAATGCCTCCCTTAGGCCCTGTAATAATGATATAGGATTAGTAGAGAAAGACCATAAAGAAACAAGACATACATTGTATATATTAAATAAATACAGTAAAATGTGATAACATCAGGGGATATTGCTCTCATCATATTACCGGGCAGTCCTGATAGGCCATCTTGACCAGGTATTCCTGGACCCCCAGGTGGACCAGCAGAACCAGGAGGCCCAGGAAGCCCAGGGCTTCCTCTGTCACCTTGCAACCCTGGAAAACTCGAACCTGGGGGGCCACGGTCTCCTTTCTCTCCATTCGCACCAGGAACTCCTGATGAAGAGAAGACGACAATGGTTTTATATAGTAAAACACTACAGAGTTGTTTTACTAAGAACCATAACAGTGGTCCTAACATCAGTGTTTGATAAAGCTTACGAGATACACTTTATCGAACGCACATTTTTTTGTACTTCCAAGAAGTTATTGGCAAGTTTTACATGCATAAGGTTTATAATCCTCAAAATAATGTTTTATTAGACAAAGAAAGAATATTTTTACAAGAATATCTCTAATTCAAGATTCGTTCTGGTCTCACAGTTCATTAAATGCTTGAATAGTCCACAGGAAGAGCTTCTCCATTTATATTTGGACACATTTTTAATAAAAAAATTGCAGACATACCAGTAGACCCCATAAAGCCAGGAGCTCCAGGAGGACCAGGGGGGCCCTGAAGGCCAAAGGCAGGGGGCCCTGGGGGGCCACGAGAACCAGGACCACCAGGAAAACCAGGATCACCTAAGTGCAAAATTAAAATGCAAAGATCATTTGCAAATAATAATAAAAAAAATCATGTTAGAATAATTTAAAAGCATCTAATTTGTTTACAGTCCAACATTACTACTTAATCTCTACCTTTAGATCCAGAAGCACCGTCAAGACCTGAACGACCTGGTGCACCAGGGCTTCCAAGGAAACCAGGATCACCTTTAGAACCGGGAGCCCCTATACTGCCTGGTAATCCTGTAGGGCCTAGAGGTCCAGGTAGACCAAAACCAGGCTCTCCCTTTGGGGACAAAGACACTCATTTGAGTACTTTAAGCTTAAAGCTATTAATTTATAATACAGTCCACTTATTTATAACCATAATGCACTCTAAGTTTTTGTATACAACCAGTAAACACTATATTGCCCACAATTCATAATTCAAGCATATAAAAGTAAAACAGATGCACATAGCAGCTTCATTTCCTCCTGCAAATTTCAGTTTGCACTTGTACTCCTTTCATTATTCAGTCATCAACTGATTAAAATGTAAAATGAATGAATTAATGAATGAATCCAAAACTATATTCGCTAACGTTCAAAACTTTAAGTCTGTAAGCTTTTTTAACATTTTGAAATAAGTCTCATATGCTCAACCAAGGCTGCATTTATTTGTCAAAAAAAGAGTAAAACAGTAATATTGTGAAACAGCATTAAAATAACTGTTTCATATTCAAAGTAATTTATTCTTGCAATGGCAAAGCTTAATTTTTAGTAGCCATTACATGATCCATCAGAAACCTTTGACATGATATTTGAGACTTTTTTTTTTTACATTTGACATGACATTTTTTCAGAATTATTTGATCACTTCATATATTTAAAAAGAACAGCATTTATTTGAAATAGAAATATTTTAACACATATGTTTTTACAATCACCTTTGATCAAATTAATGCATCCATGCTGAATAAAATTCAGCATTAATTTAGTATTAATTTATTTGAGAAAAAATCCTACTGACCCCAAAATTTTGAATGAAAGTAGGGTTGCACCGAAATGAAAATTCTTGCCCGAAGCCAAAGCCGAACAAAATGAAACACTGTGCCGAAGGCCGAATACCTTTTTTATTTTATTCTACAGAACAACAGTAAAATTACAATACTAACATTTATGAATGTTGATGGAGTTGTTGCTTTTTCTCAGCTTTTATTTTGGCAGAAATCCGCAGGAAGATCTCAGTGCTTCTTTTTGTTGACAACAGATTTATAAATGATTCTCATTAAGAATTTGGGAAGATGATTGTCACAGGTATCACATTGTCACATGGCTTAAAAAAATTAATAAAAATGTTACTGAGCAACTGACGAGTAACATTGTGTTTCAGCGCATATCTTCCTCGTGCTTTGGACTTTGAACCCTGGCGCCGCGAGCTCGTGCAGCGCTGTTTGAGTACATGTAATCCGTGCATGTAGAAAACATCATTCTGCAGTTTATTTACTAATTGTTTAAGGCCATTTCGCAATTTCAATCATCATACAGTAACTAGCAACAACCACCCCTTCCTCTTCTCATCGGAGACATGAGATGCAGCACTAAGCAGTCTCTCACTGTTGGCGATTTGCGCTTGAAATGATTTTTGCGTCTTACTCGGAGAGTTTTAAATACTTTCACACTGCAAACACTTTTGCTGCATTAGTGCCCGCCTCTATTTGATCGCGTCACGTCCTTGTTTATTATTATATAATATAATATATGTATTATAATATATATATAAGGGATGCACCGATACCACTTTTTCCAATACTCGCCCGATACCGATACTTTTATTTTTGGTACTTGCCGATACTGAGTACCGATACCAATATTTTT